TATCAAAGCTAAAAGTTCGATATCAAAAGGAAGTATATCCTTTTAAGCTTTTGGATCCACCGATCTAGCAGTTTTTTTTTTTTCCTTGGTGTGTACCTTAATTAATCCCCAAAGTCTATTGAACACCTTACACGTCTTTTTTTGGTGCTCATCTCAACTAACCTCCAAGACCATTAAATATCTTACAAGTCGTCCAATGAGTCAAGTAAGTCACAAATGAGGTAGGTGGTCACTTGGTGGGACTCAAACACAAGACTTCTAGATAACCTTAGGTCTTGTCATCCGGTTACAAGCTAAGTGGTTACCAATCTAGTGCTTTAGGGTCTGCTTGGGAGTTTTTTTTTTTCCACTAGTTTTGAGGGGATTTTTATTAGACTGGTTTTGAGATATTTTAAAACCATTACTTACCAGATTTTTTATACATTGGTTTTGAATGGCTAAAAAATTCCCCAGAATCAGTATAGTCTATTTTTAGGGGTTTACAAAACACCCCAAATCAGGGTGTGTTAGTTGGTTTTAAAATTTTAATTCCACAAGTACCATATCCACAATAAAACTATCGTAATTATATAAAAAAAAAAAAAACCATATTATGCGCGTCTCCAACCATATTTAATATAAAATAATTTTATGCAATTATAAAAACAATTATTAAAATCTCATTTCTAGATGCTTTCTTGGAGAAGTGGAGCTACAATTTTTCAATCATGTCAGATCTTGCAAAGAATGGCGAAGAAGGATAAGGAGATTTTATCACATTTGAAGTTATAAAATACTAATAAATAGAAAACTGTTAAATAATGAAGTCTACGACATCGTTTATAGCCAAGTAAAACACTGCCGTGTTGCTTATTAATCCAAGATTGATCACAACCCTTCAATTAAGGAAGATCTGACGGCTCCAGTTCACTCAGCAGTCAACGATATAAAAGAGGCCATTTCTCTCAGTTTGCTATAGTTCAGTTTTTAGGTTTTTCTTCTCTCAATAAACACGATTGTAACCTGGGTTAGGGTTTGTCACTCATATTGATTCTTCTCTGTGTGAACCTGTCTAGAGTCTTGTTTGAGGGCTAGGTGTTCCTTAAAGGGTATTGTGTACTCTAGTGGTTGTACAGGTTTGCGAGTATAAAGGGAAGAGAGGTGAGTGATTGATTGTGTGGTTGACAGAGAGGGTGAGTTGATTGTAATCTGTATCATTCGGAGTGATTAATCATAGTGCAACGAGCTCTATATTCTGGAGCTCAACGTGGATGTAACTTGTTCTACATTGAACAAGCGAACCACGGTATGTTGTTGTGTGTTGATTTCTTGTTCTTGTTTGATTAGATCTGAGATTGGTGTTTTGGTTTGAGGATTTAGGATTAGTTTACAACAGTGGTATCAGAGCCTACACTTTAGGGTTTAGATATTCTTGAAATTGATTCAAATTGGGCATAATCGCGAAATTAGGGTTTTGTCAAATTTGGGGGTTTTCGATTTAGGGAATTTCTTGATCTCTAGGGTCCTGAATCTTGAGTCTTCGGTTAAATTCTTGAACATCAGAGGTTGTTTTGTGTCTCAAAAGGTCAAATCAAAGGAAGTTAGTCAAAATCAAGGAACTGAATCTTAGAGTTTTCACTGGACAAAACGATGAGCACTACCACGCGTGTAGAAATATCCCAGTACGATGGGAAGATAGATTTCAATACTTGGAAGAAGAAGATGAAGGCTCTTCTATCTCACAATAAGGTGGGAATAGCACTGGAGAAGGATGCAACAAAGTGGTACGAAGAAAAGGTGAAAAAGAAAGCAGAGATAGACAAAGAAGCATACAATCTGATCATCATGAACTTATCATATAATGTACTGAGAAAAGTGGATGGTCTGGACACATCAATAGAGCTCTGGGGTAAACTCAAAACTTTATATGCATTACAGTCTGCTCCTAATTTAGCATTCTTGAAAGGTACTCTGTTTTCTTTCAAAATGGATGTCTCTAAGTCATTAGAAGAAAACCTAGATGAATTTCTTAAAATGACACTAGTGCTAAAAGGAACTGATCATGAATTAGGGGATTCGAGTCTTGCAATGATTTTATTAAATTCATTACCTGATGAATACTTAGTAGTAAAAAATGCATTGCGGTACACTGGAACGGTCCCAAGTGTTGATATGATAATAGCTGGTTTAAAATCTAGAGAACTTGAGTTGAAAATATAAAAAAGAAATGGGAATAATCTTTTTGTAAAGGGTAGACAAGAAATTGGACACTTAGGCAAAGAAATTGGAAAAACTATTCAACAAAATTTAGGCTCTAAGTCTAGGAAGAAAGGGAAAGCCTATAATAATAAATCTAAATCAGAGACAAGAAAATGTTTCCACTGCAACAAGCCTGGTCATATTAAAAAGAATTGTTATAAGTGATCAAGAAGCAAAAACAGTCCAGTATTGAGAGTAACATAACATCCTCTAGCAATAGCATTGAAATTAATGAAGCTCTCACTGTGTCTAGTTCTGAAATTGCAAATGAATGGGTGCTAGACTCAGGGTGTTTATTCCATATGAGTTCTAACAAAAACTGGTTCCAGAATCTGATAAGTGGTGAACCTGAAACTGTGTTTATGGGCAATAACCACTCCTGCAGGGTCCAAGGTGTTGGTAATATTACCATTAGACTTAACAGTGGCAAACTCATAATGTTAACTAGAGTTAGATATTTACCAGAGCTTAAACATAATCTGATCTCACTAGGCACTCTAGATGAAGCTAGCTGTAGCTATAGGGCTAAAAATGGATGTATTTCTGTTTACAAGAATGATCAAATTCTGCTTGAAGGTGTTAAGAGGCATGGCTTGTATATCCTATGTGGTCAATACTATCAAATGAATGTTAATTCTGCTTTTATATCTACTAACATTTCAATTGCAGAAAAATGGCACCTAAGGATGGGTCATATAGGCCAAACTGGTATGAACTCCCTCAAACAGTAGGGTTATTTTGGTAATACCAATGTGTCAGACTTAGGTTTTTGTGAAACTTGTGTTATGGGTAAACAGCACAGGCTGAGTTTCCCAAAAGGAACTCACCTGTCTGTAAATTTTCTTGAATACCTACATGCTGATCTTTGGGGTCCCGAGAGAGTCAAAACACAGGGGGGAATAGTTATTTTCTAGCTATAGTAGATGACTACAGTAGGAAGGTGTGGGTATACCTCCTTAGAACCAAAGATGAGGCCCTGAGTAAGTTCAAGGGTTGGAAAACCTTAGTAGAAAACCAAGTGGAGAAAAAGGTCAAAGCCCTCAAAACTGATAATGGTTTGGAGTTCTGTAATACTGAGTTTGATACATACTATAGAGACTAGGGAATTTCAAGACATAGGACAATTAGGAGAACCCCTCAGCAAAATGAAGTTGCTGAGAGGATGAATATGACATTGTTAGAGAAGGTCTGATGCCTGTTATTCACAACTGGTCTGCCTAAGTCTTTTTGGGGTGAGGTTTTAACCACTGCTGCCTATTTAATAACTAGGACTCCCTCTAGTGCAACTGGTTTCATATGCCCTGAAGAAAGATGATCAGGAAGATAACCATCTCTCAACCACCTACGAGTGTTTGGATGTGCAGCTTATGCACACACCACAGATGGGAAATTAGAACCCAGATCTCTCAGATGCGTGTTCTTGGGGTATCAGGAAGGGACCAAGGGATATAGGTTGTGGGAGAGAGAGGCTCTAGGGATTAAGTTCATCATCAGTAGAGATGTAGTATTTAATGAGTGTGTGTTTCCTTGCAGGGTTACTAACACTAATGCAGGTACCTCAAACCACCAAGTGGAGACCTCACAGCAAATAGAGAGTACTTAGTTTGAGGTGGAGTCAACCAACCAACAGGAACCTGAAACTACCACTGATGGACCAGAACCTGAACCTGAACTTGAACACCCACCTTTTGACACTGATCCTGATGGAGAAGGTGAAAATGAGAAAAATACAGAAGAGGCCCAATTACAGGACCTGGCCCAATACCAACTTGCTAGGGACAGAGCAAGGAGGGAGATAAGACCACCTGCAAGGTTCAACTATGCTGACCTCATCTACACAACACTACTTGCTGGTGTAGAGATTCAAAGGTCTGAACCTGATTCCTATGAAGATGCCATAAAATCAAAAGATAACAAGAAATGGCTCACTGCCATGAATGAGGAGATGGACTCTCTAAGGCAGAACAAAACCTGGACTTTGGTTTCGAAACCCAAAGACATCAAGCCAATGGAATGCAAGCGGTTGTATAAGCTGAAAGAGGGCATTAAGAAGACTGATCCACCAAGATATAAGGCCAGATTGGTGGCCAAAGGCTACACACAAAGGGCAGGTATAGACTTCACTGAAATATTTTCTCCAGTTGTTAAATTTAAAACTATAAGGCTGATGTTATCAATTGTAGCACATCATGACCTAGAGTTAGAGCAGTTAGATGTAAAAATTGCATTTTTGCATGAGGAATTAGAAGAACAAATTTATATGAGTCAACCCATGGGGTTTAGGGATAAACAATTTCCTAACCATGTATGTTTGGTGCATAAATCTCTGTATCGACTTAAATAGTCACCAAGGCAGTGGTACAAGAGATTTGACTCTTTCATAGTAGGTATAGGCTTCACTAGAAGTGATCATGATAACTGCTTTTACTTTGCACATGTGGATACAAATCCTGTATACTTGTTATTATACATTGATGACATGCTATTAATTAGTAAATCCAAGGCCCATATTGATGAGTTGAAGGAAAAATTGCATGCTGAATTTGACATGAAGGATTTAGGCTGTGCAAAGAAAATATTAGGAATGCTAACAGAGAGAAATAAAAAAAACTGCAGTTTAAAACTCCATCAGATGCCCTAGCTGCAGAAACTAGTGTTAAGGTTTGGAATGAATTGACTCTAAATGTGCCACAATGCCCCTAGCTAGTCACTTCACCCTTAGTAAGGCTCAAAGCCCAAAAACAGAATCTGAAAGATTAAAGATGGAATCCATACCCTATGCAAATGCAATAGGCTCTGTCATATATGCTATGGTTAGTACAAGACCTAACTTATCCTATTCAATATCACTACTAAGTAAGTTCATGTCAAACCCTGGATATGAACATTGGAATGCTTTAAAATGGCTTCTTAGATACATTAGAAGCACTGTCCATGTTGGTTTAAATTTCTGTAAAAGAAACTCCTCACTTGATCTGGTTGGGTATGTAGACTCTGACTTTGCAGGTGATAGAGACTCCAGGAAGTCCACAGCAACCTATCATTTCACCTTGGGAGGTAACTGCATCGGTTGGAAGTCCCAAATACAGCTACTGGTAGCACTGTCCAAAACTGAAGCGAAATATGTGGATGTAACCGATGCATTCAAAGAAGCTATATGTCTTCAGGGATTCTTGAAAAAGGCCAAGCTGCTGGATGGAACTGTGACTGCCTATTCAGACAGTTAGAGTGCCATTCACCTGGGAAAGAATCCCGTATACCATGAGAGGAACAAACATGTAGATGTCATATATCATTTTGTACGGGATATGATCTCAAAAGGAGAGGTAAACCTGATGAAAATCCCAACTGAAAATAACCCTGCGGACATGGGAACCAAGGTTGTAACACTTGCAAAGTTCAAGCATTGCTTGAACTTACTGCATGTGGAATAACCACTCAGAGCCGAGAAGGAATATGGAAATGCTTGCTGCACAGAAGAGGAGACTACCAGAGAGACAACCATAGACTTCAAGGTGGAGATTGTTAAATAATGAAGTCTGCGACGTTGTTTACAGCCAAGTAAAACGATGCCGTTTTGCTTATTAATCCAAGATTGATCACAACCCTTCAATTAAGGAAGATCTGACGGCTCCAGTTCAGTCAGTAGTCAACGATATAAAAGAGGCCATTTCTCTCAGTTTGCTACAGTTCAGTTTTTAGGTTTTTTCTTCTCTCAATGAACGCGATTGTAACCTGGGTCAGGGTTTGTCACTCATATTGATTCTTCTCTATGTGAATATGTCTAGAGTCTTATTTGAGGACTAGGTGTTCCTTAAAGGGTATTGTGTACTCTAGTGGTTGTACAGGTTTGCGGGTTTAAAGGGAAGAGAGGTGAGTGATTGATTGTGTGGTTGACAGAGAAGGTGAGTTGATTGTAATCTGTATCATTCGGAGTGATTAATCATAGTGCAGCGCGCTCCATATTCTAGAGCTCAACGTGGATGTAACTTGTTCTACATTGAACAAGCGAACCACGGTATATTGTTGTGTGTTGTTTGATTTCTTGTTCTTGTTTGATTTGATCTGAGATTGGTGTTTTGGTTTGAGGATTTAGGATTAGTTTACAACAAAAACAAATAAAGAACTCATACCTTGTAATTGAAAAAATAACTCCCAAGTATTGGTTAGAGTTAGAGAATTTTTATGAGCATATATGTAAATTTATTATTTTAAAAAACTATTAGAACCGTTGAAAAATAAACTCCCAAGCATAGATTTAGTGTTTTAAAAACAGCTATTAAAAATCTTTCAAAACCTCTATGATGATTTATTCTTAAAACTACTATGATAATTTACTCTCATAACTGTTACCATAAAACTCTCAAGCGAACCCTTAATAATATGGTTGTTACACTCAAGTTTTATCCTGAATTTTAATTAGGTCTTTGTCAAAAAGGTTAATATATAATGAATAGATTTTCAATTTCGGGGACAAGTCCGGTCCCATCCATGAAGTGCATGTATATTGTACAAGACGATTAGATTGGGCAGTCAAATTTAGTTATTGGACCATATTAAATTCTGAAAAGTTGGCCTACCTCCAAGGAGTATGCTTAACGCAATTAAGTTTGATTTAATAGGTGGAATCCTTGACTTCCCTCAGCATGTAGCACTATTATGGTGATGCTTCTGAAATGGACGCGCCGTGTTAATCCAACTTTGCTGAGAGAAGGAATCTTATTACAGTCCAACAAAACAATGGAATCTTACTGTGAATTCAGGGGCGGATGAGCCGCGGATCCAGCATCCAGGCCTACCACTCAGATTTTGAAAAAAAAAAAAAAAATTTATAATTAATTATTTTTATATCAAAAAAGTATAAATATAGGCCCACAATCAAAATAATTGTTCAGGCCACTAATCATAAATATAATAATTGTTCAGGCCACCAATCATAAATATTGCGGTTACGCTGACCTAATGGTTTCATTATATGTATATAGGGCTAATTAATTTCCACAGCTTTTTGTATCATTAATTTTATTTAGTGAGTATGTCTATTTATCTTATCGCTCAGTTGGAGTTAATTTTTGAAGACCCAAATTGTTCAACCTTTTAATATTCAAGGCGTTGCACTATTTTATATTTTATTAGTTTTAGGTATACATATTATTTATTTTAATTTAGTTTATTTTAGGGTTGAATCATGTTTTTTTTCTTTAGGTTTTTTATTATGATGAAAAAAGACATGAATCTTATTAGTTGATTTTGTGTTTGTTTGATTTTGTAATTGGCTGAAAATATTATTATCAATTTGACTTTAGATATAACAAATACATTTATAAAATTAATTTTTTATATAATTAAAGGACAACTTGATTTGCACAAATCATTAATATATTAATAATGATATTTTTATTATTTTATAATATAATTAGTTGGCTAAGTATGTTCTAATAATAATTAAATTAAATCTAGTTGATCTATGCCAATAATTTAAATGTCGGGAAATTGATTAGCAAATTATATAAGTTTTTAAATTTCACCAAAATGATTTTAAATATAAGAAAATTAACACAATAAAATGATTAATTAATTACTAAAATAATCTTTTAATTAGATCTAATTGTTACATTTAAAAACGTGATAAATCAATTTTTGTAATTTTATTAATTAAAGTTTTATCAGTATTTCTTTATATGTATCATACTATCTTTTTTTATTTGATAGCTATGATATCCAATTATTTCAAGAGATTAAAGAAAATTCCAACAAAAATTGTGTTTCCTTATGAATTGGATGTTATTTTCAACACATTTACTCGAGGTTTTGCTTAAAGTTTGATGGTTTTTTAAAAGTTTTTACCAATTGTTTGACAGACAATGACGAAACCGTGGAGGGCCTCTTGGGCAAAAACCCTGACTTTCGTCACTGACTGTGATGGTATCTCCATGATTAGAATATTTGGCTGCAGATCACTGTCTTGGTCAACAGGTCCAGTGAAGATGCTCAAATCAAAATCATTCAGTGGCGCACACAAACTAATAAACGATAAGTTTTCTTACTTTCATGGTCAATAGTGATCTAGAACTGTTGAATACTGTCCATTGCAATGGATGAATTTCTATTAAAAGCACAAAATGGGTTGTTTTCCAGGGACATAGCCATATAGAAATTGATTACTTGAAGCTTTTGTGCCATAAACAAACACACAGGCACATGCAAACAGCCGTGTGAAGTTCTAGCAGGCTGTTTGGAATATCAATGGCAATTTAATTGACCCACAAGTTATTTTTCTAGTTCCGTCTAATATTTAGTTTTGTGTAAACACTTCTTATTTTCACATTGAAATGATTGAGTTGCTGCTTAGGAACCACATAAAAAGTTTCTGATAATAAACCAGTGGAAGTTCTTATCTTGAACTCCATTTCTGCATACGACACTCAAGGTCTTTGAGTTATTCTTTACATGTTCACCATCTATGCATATTAAGAATTTCATCGTGTTTATAAACATAAATCTGTTTTCAAAATTGGGTGTCATATAGATGGAGGATTATTTGCGGTTGCGGCCTCTGTCTTTATGAGTCTATTAGACCAGCAAAGAAAATTGTTGACCACTTCAGCGTTAGTGCTGGAATTGTTGACCACTTCAATATTAATAGGCTGTGCAAATGCAGTTCGTGTCCTGCTAAATGATTTTTTTAAGTTATTAATTCATTATTGGGTTTAAACTTTAGAATAGAAATCTTTGTAATATTAGGTTTTATTCTTTTAAACCTAGTATATAAATGTATTTTTCCCTTATAACAAGTGATAGAAAATATTAGAATAAATTCATTCATTGTAAATAAGAGAGATGAGACAGTATTGCAATAATATTGATTAAACTGGACGTAACCTATTAATTGGGTAAACTAAGATAAAATCATGCATATTTCTTCTTTCTCTTTACTGTTTGTGTTTGTGTTTTTACTGTTATTTTGGTTTTCGTTACTCTCTATTAGTCCAGTTTGTTGAAGTTGCTATCATGGTTTAATTTCTCCAAATAAGATTCTTTTCAAATCAAAATAATTACTATTTAGATTAATTTATCAACCTTGAGAATTTATTAGTCTCCAGTGGATGGAAGGGCCCTCAAGGCCTGAAGGAATATTTTCATTCTTCCAATTACTCCAAACTCTCATTTATCATCAGTGCTCTGTGAACAGATTCATCCAACATAACGCCTTTGCTTGAAAAGTTTTCTGAGTTAAAAGTAAATTCCAGGACCTCTGCTCTTCTTTGATTAATAAAATACAGTAGATACTATATGTTTAGAATTTTATTGTAAGCCTTCTTTAAAATTACTCGAATCTTATTTACATCAAAACAATAATGGCTGAGATAAAACCTCTTGATAAATTAGTGATTACATGTAACAGATTTGACAGAAATAATAATTCCGGTTTTGGGGTCTAAGTCAGAAGATCTTGTAAGGAACGTATTAGTGCCAGTCTTTTCTAGCATTATAAAGAGAGTGGGAAGGTGACAAAAATCCTTGCCTATAAAACCCCATAACCACTCTGAAGTTGTTGTGCCCATCGAAAGATTCTCCTCGATAATTTTTCTTTATACCAAAATGACCACTCTCTCAAACAAATTCCAATTTGTCTGCTTGGCCTCAATCCTTATTTTGCGCACTTGGGTCATTCATGCTTTATGCCGCCCTCTCAATGATGAATTTGTCCTACAAAGGCATCAGGAATGGATGGCTCAACATGGACGTGTCTATAAAGATGCACAAGAAAAGGAGAGACGCTATAATATTTTCAAGAACAACTTAGAATATATTGAAAATTTTAACAATGATGTGGACCGTGGATACAAGCTAGCCATTAACAAGTTCGCAGGCCTTACAAATGAAGAATTCCGTGGCTTGTATACCGGTTACAAGAGGAAAACCTCAAAAGCAGTAACCACATCAAAAGACACATCTTTTACACATGTAAACTTAACAGCTGTGCCAGCTAGTTTGGACTGGCGAAAAAAGGGTGCTGTGAACCATGTTAAGGACCAAGGCCGATGTGGTAAGTAAACGTGTTATTTAGTGTGGCCAGAGTGTTTTTTTTTGTGTTCTTTATTTTATAGTCACTTACTGTTTGTTATTGTCAATATATAGGCTGTTGTTGGGCGTTTTCAGCAGTGGCAGCTGTGGAAGGAATAACTCAAATAAAAACCGGTAAGTTAATATCGTTGTCAGAGCA